AGTCTCCAGAAGGAAGATGAGGCCCCACAACAATGACTCTACTTGATCCAGAAAGATGCCATTGTACCTAAGAACATTACCCAATGATCAACTTTGGGCTGAAAACTCTTCAGGACAGTTCTAAGATGAGATGGTCCATCATAGTACACTTCTATCCAGAATCTCAGACAATCTTATCCACTACTCTGAGACTGGCTGCAGAATCTACAGCTAGCCCTATTGAGACCTAACTATCTAAGCTTTCTTACAGGACCCACAGAGATACTGTCACTGCCAAGCAGCAGGAAGCAATTCTAAGAAAATGACACCCCCCTCTCCCAAAGGTTTCATTTTCTCAGGGTTATGGATGGATGGTTATAGGGTTATAGGTGGGAAAATAAAATTTAAACTCAGTATTCTCCTTTAGAAAAGAAAAAGGGGAATGGATAGGTATAGTATATTAAGTTAGATTATTGTATCTAGTAGTAAACTGATTTAGCAAACTATCAGTCTTGGATAATTTGCACTGATATGGATTCTTGTATATTGATACAAATGTAAACTACTATTATATTCCTATTTAAGATAATTTGTATATTGATATAAATACAAAACTATATTTGTTGTATTATACACATATTCCTACTCCTGTTTGAAATACTTTGTATATTGATACAAATGTAGTAAGAAATTTATCATACTATATATATGTTCTACCTCTGTTTAGGATATTTTGCATATTGATACATATTAAGGATATTGTTGTCATATTGCATATTGCACTATGCATTTCTACCTCTGCTTAAGATATTTTGTCACAATTTTGAGGTCATTGTCCTTATACAGTACATCTGCATACAGACTGTTTATCTTGTTAATGTGAAGCCTTAGGTGATTTAGGTAGATAAGACTTATAGAACTATAGTCACCCATGCTTGTCATATCTATAGTTATGTTAGTTAGGTTCTCCAGATTTACAGAAACATAGGTCAGATGGACAGGTAATTTTCAAACACTTCATAGACCTAGAGAATATGGCATTTAAATGTTTTGATAACTTAGGATTCTGTTGACGTGAGACACGATTGCTCCTGGAAGCACTAATCTGATCCCAAAAGAATGCTGGGCTTCTAGACATTTCCATTGGAAGTTTGTCTTCTTTTTGGCCCAAAATGGCCTGCTGGGCAAAGAACTACTCTTGCCTCAACTGCTGACAGCATGAACGCTGTCCTTTCCGGACCAGCAGGACACAAGGGAAAGCGACTACTAAACTGTGCCAAGATGGTTTTTCAAAATTCCTGCTTCTGAAAATGGTCTGTCAGATATTCTAGGCCTGTAGCCAAATTAGATGCCCCAACGATGCTGAGAAACTTTAGGTGACTGTCCAGGCTGCCAGCTGTCTCTGTCTATTCTCGTAAGAATTTTGGAAATTGCTTGCTTGCATTTTCTGTTTTCTCAGGTATTATTATGTTCCTTCTCAGGTCTTTGATGGAGTTGAAGACTATATAGTTACAGTTACAATCTTCTGGTATCTTAGCCAGAACATATTAGTACTAGAGTTAGAATCTTCAAGATAGGACAGCTACTGGAGTAATCTCGGTAACTTGCCATTTACCTATGTTCTGGACATTTCTGGACATTTAGCTTGTCTTTCTTGTTTGATGTTATTGGTGTTGGTTGTAGTTCCATTTTTGTTTATGTTATTACCCTTTGCTTTTCCTGGACAATACTTGATAGTCATTCTTATTGTATATAGTTCGCATTAAGTTTAGAACTTTCTTATTTAGACAAAAAGGGGAAATGTAGTGGTATTTGCCCTGCCCATGACCTTGGGCTATAGGACCTGAAGGAGGCAGTGCTTCCTGCCATTGTACGTGGCCTCTTCTTAAAAGGAGGAGAAGGCTCACATGCCCCTTCTCTCTGCTCCTGCCTGCAAGGTGGATTCACTCCCAGATCAGAGGACAACTTCATCTGTCTACTCTGTTCTGTGTTTGTGAGTATATTTCCTCAATTTACCTTAATAAATTTCCCTAATACTTCTTAAAGAGACTCCCGTGGATTTATCACTTTAGGCTTGGGGTTCAGGGAGACACTGAGGCAGATTGTCCTTCTGAGTCAGAGACTTCCTGGGAGAGTTGTTAATGCTGGGGAAAGATAGCATGACAGACACTGAGGACACTTCAGACCCACAGGGCTAAGTGAGGCCCCATTCTGTTGGTTTCAAAGGAGGGGGATGTTTCATGCTGTGTAGTTGATGAGTAGCCCACAGTACATGCCTGCAGTCAGATTATCTCAGATGTCTGCATATCAGGGGAAGAAGGGGCAGAGGTTTATGTGTCTGTCACACAGGATGTGCCACCTGTAGCCCCTGATTACTTAGGCTTTCCATAAACATCCTTTGGGATGGTAGCAAGAATCATGGACTCAGAGGCAGACTCCTGGCGAGGTGCTTGCCATGTCTTTGACAGCAGCTGTGAGGACAGAGGGAGAAAGAGGCTGCTGCAGGAGAACATGGCTTAAGAGTTCTAGCCCAGATCTAATGTTCTCACCAAGAAACCAGTGGCTTAAGGAGTTAGTCCCAGGATCAACCCTTTCAATTTGGCTAGCATTTGTAACAAGATAATCAGTCCTCTTATTTTAGAGGTATTTTGGTCTTAAAAAAACTTTGATTTATCACAATCATGATTAGGTCTCTCTGGGAGGATGCTCTCGACTCCCAGCCCTGACCCTGGTTTCTCCTCACAGTGAGAAGAGGGGAGGCCTGTGTGATGGAGCTGGAGCCTACGCCTGTGGCATCAGACATTGGCATGAGAATTACCTGGAGGCAGCATGCAGCTTGCTAGGTTCCACCCCCAGCATTTCCTACTCAGCAGATCTTGGTAAGCACATTTAATCCGAGGCTGGCACAGTTTCCTCATGGGATCCAGAGTGAGCCAGAGCGAGGCTGGGGAGTGTGAGCTCTGTTAGTTTTCCTCTTTTCACTCAAGTGCTTGATGAATGATGAATGAGTTTCATTTGTTTCTTAAACACTGGGTATTGAACTGCTCAATTCAGCCCATCTGTGGGTAGGCTAGGGAGATTTTCAAGCAGACCAGGAATAATTAAAATCAGTGCCCCAAAGTAAACTTGCAGACCTGAGGTGTTCTTGAGGAAGAGGCTGCTCCAAGGAAATTCTTTCAGGGAGGTTGTGGCTTTTGTTGAATTTGTCCGTGTTACACACTGAGCCCTGAGCAACTAAGGAGCAGAGCCTTAACAGTTCCCTTGGTACTGTGAACGAAAATCTTCATAAAGAAGCCATGCAATTCCTTTTCTTCTTTTCTTTTTATTTTTTTGAGTCAGGGTTTCTCTGTGTAGCTTTGGAGCCTGTCCTGGAACTCACTCTGGAGACCAGGCTGGCCTTGAACTCACAGAGATCCACATACCTCTACCTCCCTAGTGCTGGGATTAAAGGCGTGTGCCACCACCGCCCGGGGAAGCCATGCATTTTCAAAGGCTCATTAGAACTTCAGTGACTGGAGAAGTTGGAACATGCAGGTCTAACTTCTTAAATTACAGATCATCTTGGCCTGTCTTTAGCTCCTTTGACATCTAGTCATTGCCAACTCTGTGTCCAACCTAACACCCTGTGACTATTAGGTAAGAAGCTTTGGAATATGCAAACAGACCCCTGACTCCCACCAAAGCTGAGTGTCATCAGGTCGTACCTGAGACCCATCGTAGACATTCCCTGCTCTGTTGTAAATTGCCCACCTGATGTAGCCACTAGTGAAAGGTTTACAACACGCCCCCACGGTCGGGCGTGTTTGCATATGCCCAACAGACACTTCCACCTAGCCAGTTCCAGGTCAGGATAGCCATTTCCGGGTCAGGGCATCTTGCGTGACCAAGATCCGTGACGTTCCATTGGCTACGTAGGCGCGCAACGTGGCCATGTGATCTACGTGCTTGCGTGTAGTAGTGACGCTGATCTGTCCACGCCCAGCCTTTAAAATCCGGCGCCATGTTCCCGGTTCCTTCTTCTTCTTCTTCCTCCTTCTTCTCCACACACGTGTTTCCCGCAGGCCTGTTCACTCTCTGTCCCTTTACCTTTAATAAAACTCTTGTTAGCGGATTCTGTCGTGTTTCGTGGCATTTCCTTGCAGGGTAAGAACACAACGCAGCCGAAAAACTAACATTTTGGTGCCGAAACCGAGCGGGCGCTTCCGGGCGCCCTGCGCCTGGAAACCCGTAACCGGGGACTGCAACACTCTGCTCCGTACGCGACAGACCGCTCTCCATTTCGCCTGACCGCAGAAATTCCATGCAACACCGCTTTCTCCAATTGGTGAGTCCCCCCCCATTTTTCGGCCAGTGTAAACGGTTTCCTGAATCTGTGAGAACAACCGGTACCTCACAAGTATTCTTGAGACCGGGGGAACCCCCGGCCACGGTCTTCATTGGCTGCGGTCGGCCCCTATCGCAGGCCTCAGATTTCTAGCCCTCTCCCACGTCTGCAGCCTGAGATATTTCTCGCGTTGGGACCACCGCCGTTGGGTGCGTCCTGGGGGCCACGTGGGGCCGACACGTTCATCTGACTTGACGAAGCGGCAGACGCTGTCCGGATTCCCGGGGAATCCTTTCCTCACGCGGCAGGGGCCCCCGCTTCTGTGGCTGACGAGCCAAGGAGCGGCTTGTGCCCGGGATCCGTCCTTGGCCTTGGGGACGCCTGGGGCCTTGGCTCCGGATCAAGTTTGTTTTTTTATCTTTTTTATTTTTCTGCCTCTCCGCTGCAGACATGGGAAACAAGGCTTCCAACCCTGGCTGTCTTGTTGAAGCTTTAAAACCTCTCAGTTTAATGCCTTACATAAAGATTCCTAAGTTAACTCGTCTATGTTCTAAAAAATGGCCAAAGTATGCTTTAGAAAACAACAAAAAATGGCCGCCGAGCGGGTCCTTAGATCCCGATATTTTACGGGAATTATCTAATTACTGTCAGCGCTCAGGCAGATGGAAAGAGTTGCCCTGTGTTATAGCATTTTTTCTTTCTCATTGCTAAACCGTCTCTTCTGGATTCCTTCTCTCCTGCTCATATGCTCCTGGCTATGCCTGAACCGGAGGATTCTCTGACTCCGGAATCTCTGACTCTAGATCCTGCTAACGAACCTCCACCTATTCAACCTCCAGCTCCAACTCCTAGAAAACCGTTCCTTCCGCTCCCCTTCCAGATTCTTCTTCTTCTAAAGCTGCTCCTTCCTCGGCAGCGGCCGGTTCCAAAGGCCCTGCCCTAGCTCCAAACTTCACTCCTCCTACCACCCGCTCTCGGGCTGCTAAATTGCCTGATTCCAGCCATCCAAAACCTTCCACTGTTCTCCCTTTGCGAGAGGTGACTGGTGTGGATGGACTGATTAAAGTTCATGTTCCATTCTCTCTAGCAGAACTCTCTCAGATAGAAAGTAAGCTGGGTTCTTATACTTCTAATTCTGCTGCCTTTATTAAACAGTTTCAATATATAACTCAATCTTATAGTCTCACCTTTCATGATATATTCATGATACTTTCTAATAACTTACTTCCTGAGGAGCGCAGGCGGGTTTGGGAGCAGGCTAGGATTCATGCAGACGAAATTCATCAAACTAACCTCTCACACCCGCCAGGAGCTGAGGCGGTTCCTGACCGAGAGCCACACTGGGATTATAACACCCAGGGTGGCTGTCTAGCCAGAGATAGGTTTATTACCTGTCTCCTGACAGGTCTCCGTAAGGCTGCCCTAAAACCAGTAAATTATGAGAAACTAAAAATGGTTATTCAAGATAAAGACGAAAATCCGTCTCATTTCCTAGAGCGGCTCACCAAGGCTCTACTTCAGTTCACTAGCTTAGACCCAGAGAGCCCTGAGGGCAGGCAGCTGCTAATAACCCAGTTTGTCTCACAGAGCTTCCCTAACATTAGGGATAAACTTAAACATTTGGAGAACGGCCCTCTAACTCCACAGGCAGATGTGCTGGTGATAGCGTTTAAGGTGTTCCATGGTAGAGATGAAAAAGCCCATAAAAGGAGCTGCCAGATGCTGGCAAGCACTGCCCAACCGGCTCCCCGAAAGCCATCTGGTCCCTGCTTCAAGTGTGGGAGAGAAGGCCATTGGGCCCAGGCTTGCACCACCGGCCCACGAAGGGCACCAACAAAGCCTTGTCCAAACTGTTACCAAAAGGGTCACTGGTCAGCTGACTGTCCTAATGTCCCAAGCGACATAGGAACGCCAGATGAAGACCACCCTCCAGCTGACTTTGTAGGCTTGGCTTACAGCGAGGACTGCTGCTGCCTGGTTTCTGCCCCGGCCACTCCCATCTCACACAGGGAACCTAGGGTAATTATAAAGGTCAATGGGCAGCCCCATCTCGTTCCTTTTGGACACCGGAGCTACCTACTCTGTCCTGAGAGAGTTTTGGAGGCCCACCTCTCCTGCTCGTCTCCCTATTGTCGGGGTTGGGGACAGCCTTATCTACCTCATCAGACACCACCACTCAGTTGCATTTTCAGAGGCATCCCTCTCACACACACATTCTTAGTGGTGCCAAGCTGCCCTGTACCTTTAATGGGGGGGGATCTTCTAGCTAAGGTAGGAGTGTCCATTTCTTTTGCTCCACACATTCGCCTCATCCCAGACGCGCCAGCAGCTCCTTTACTTCTCCTCCTAGCCACTCACTCTTCTGACTAACAATTCCTTTCCCCTACCAGTCTCTCAGGTAGACACACAGAGCCGGAGGCAAAAAGGACCATCAAAAATATCCAGGCGGTAAGGAATAATGTAATACAATAATCTATCATTGTTCGATACTCAGCAACTGATCACCTGCGTTTCCTAAATGCTAACCTAATAAGGGAAACAGGTGCCTTAAATAAACTACCTCTAATAAGGCTTGTCTCAGATAGAAATTAAGCAGAGTACTAAGGCCAGATCTACCTCAGGTAAATATCACATGTCTCTATCTGGACAGGCCAGATCTACCTCAGACAAATGCCAACTCCAAAATAAAGTAATAATGGTTCTTTCTCTCTAAGCCTTTTCTATGTCAACAGTATCTTGTCAAACAGAAGGTTCCTAGCCACAGCACGGAGGGTTCCCAGCCACAGCACGGATAGACAGCCGCAGAACGAGGGGATGGCAGAACTTCATTCCAGGACCTGCTCACCAACATCCCAGGACTTCACAAGATACCCTCTCATCCCCCTGCCCCCCAAGAGCCAACCAACGCCCACTATTCAGCTGGAAGCAGTCTTTGAGAGAAACATCGCCCCCATACCCAGGCAACCACAATTTTTTTCTTTTTTAAAAAAGGAAGAGTCAGGGATGAAAGGTTTACAACACGCCCCCACGGTCGGGCGTGTTTGCATATGCCCAACAGACACTTCCACCTAGCCAGTTCCAGGTCAGGATAGCCGTTTCCGGGTCAGGGCATCTTGCGTGACCAAGATCCGTGACGTTCCATTGGCTACGTAGGCGCGCAACGTGGCCATGTGATCTACGTGCTTGCGTGTAGTAGTGACGCTGATCTGTCCACGCCCAGCCTTTAAAATCCGGCGCCATGTTCCCGGTTCCTTCTTCTTCTTCTTCCTCCTTCTTCTCCACACACGTGCTTCCCACAGGCCTGTTCACTCTCTGTCCCTTTACCTTTAATAAAACTCTTGTTAGCGGATTCTGTCGTGTTTCGTGGCATTTCCTTGCAGGGTAAGAACACAACGCAGCCGAAAAACTAACAACTAGTGCATCTGAAAGGCGTGATTATGCCTGTCCTTGTTTTGTTACTGCAAAGTCATGAAACTGTTTCCATGTTGGAATATGGAATTTGGGACAGCCCAGATCTGTGTTCCTGGGCCCTGTCACTATTTCTTTCCCCTCTTTGAGACAAGAGCTGCACTCTTGTGTTGATGGTACCAAAAAGCTGAGCACAGCGCTCAGCTCTCAAGATTTTAATGAGTGCTTGCTGGTTAAAGAACATGCAGTTTAGAACTCTCAAACAAAATGAATAGACAAGCAAACACCTCTCCCCACTAATCCCCGGAAGTCTGGGGCAATGGCTCTTCGAATGAATGAAACAGGTAATTTGGACATTTGTGAGCTGCCCAGTGAGCATAGCTTATTGCCACGGCAGAGAAGGAACACTGAGTTTCTGTGGACATGCTAGGAATTCATGCTCTGGGTGGGGCCATAGCAAGGCTGGGCCTCATCAGAGTAGAAACAGCTCCACAGGGGCAGTTTTAAAATTGTTTTAAAAAGGGGTTGAGGATTTAGCTGAGTGGTAGAGCGCTTGCTTAGCAAGTTCAAGGCCCTGGGTTCGGTCCTCAGCTCTGAAAAAAAAAAAAAAGGCAACATAAAATAGCCAGACGTGGTGGCACACAGATGACAATATGCATACCGCACTCCTCAGAAACAAGCCCTAAGAATTCAAACCCTAGACCTGCTTGGGGAGGAGGTGTCTTTCGACACCGAGCCTCTCCTCTCTGTTCATTGGCCATTGGACGTTCTCCTGCCTGCTGCCAAGGCTGCTCAGAGTGCTGAGTTGAAGAACACGCAAACTGAGTGACAGGCGCAGACAAGAGTCTTGGGAAGGAGGGTGCTACCCATTCTCTTTCCTCCTTTGGGCATGGCTGCACTGGGTCATAGCGTTGGCGGGTATGCTTTTATTGTTATAATGAAATTAGAAGGATCCCTAGGTCATCTGGAGTCTTGACATGGCACCAGGACCAAACAGAGGCAGCCTGGAGTCCCTCCTCTTAGCTTGCTGATGGCGGCGTGTGATACTTTGGTAGTTGACAGCTGGGGGCACGGGGTAATAAGCATCCAGGCTTTAATCGCTGTAAGCAAGGGCCACTTGATTGACAGAACAATACATTGTCAGCGATTTGGGGGCTCAGGATGGTGACATACTGATCAGATTCAGTCTTCCTTATCCACCCTCACCCTTCCCATCTCCAGTTTCTTTTGTATTCACATCACCTTTCCTGTTTGCTTCTTCATGGGATAGAGAATATGCAGTACTTTTTTTGTTGTTGTTGTTTTTGTTTTTGTTTTTGCTTTTTCTGTGTCTGGGTTATGCCACTTAACACAATGTCCTCTAGTACCACTTTTTTGTTTGTTTGTTTGTTTGTTTTTTGAGACAGGATTTCTCTGTGTTGTTTTGGTGCCTGTCCTGGATCTCATTCTGTAGACCAGGCTGGCCTGGAACTCACAGAGATCCACCTGGCTCTGCCTCCTGAGTGCTGGGATTAAAGGCCTATGCCACCACTGCTCGGTAATTTCACCCTTCTTTATGGCCAAATAATATCCCATGTGTTCATATGACACATTTTATTAATTCATTTATCCATTGATAGTCACTTAGCCTATGTATCTTAGTTATATCTGTAGCTACATATCTTAGTTATTCTGAATAGTGCTACAACAAGTATTTATGTGCTGGTGTCTCTTTAGGGCATTGATTTCATTTTTTCTTTTAAAATATAATTCAGAATTGGGTTAGCTGGGGCTGCAGATATGGTGTTGAGGCTGTAAGCTCAGCCCCCAACACCAAAAAACAATAAAAAAGAAAGTATAGCTGGATCATGTGGTAGATCTATTTTCAGTTTTTTCCCTAAGATTTTGTTTATGCGTATATGTTTGTGTGTGTGTGTGTGTGCAGGTACCCAGGGAGAACAGAAGAGGTCACTAGAGCTGCAATTACAGGTAGTTGTGGGACATCCAACGTAAGTGCTGGGAAATGAATCCAGGTCCTCTGTAAGAGCAGCAAGTGATCTTAACTGTTCACCCATCTCTCAAGGAACCTGGTGTTCGCCAATTGCCTAGGCTGGCTGGCTAGTTAGCTCTGGGGTTCTGCCTGTCTCTGCCCTGCCAGTGCTAGGGTTACAAGTTTTTTCATTGTCACAAGTAGCTTTATGTGGGTGCTGGGGATCCACATTTAGCCCTGTCCCAGCTTGTGCAGCAGACTCTTTACTGACTGAGCTGTCTCCCCAGCCCCAGTATTTGTTTTGATGTAAAATATATTCATTACAGATCCAGATTATGTACTATGATGGTCAGGGTGTTTGAGACAGGATCTTGTGTAGCCCATACTTGGCTCAAATTTTGGTCCTCCTGCCAAAGTGAGATATTTTCAAAGAATAAATTAAAAATGTTATGTTGAGTAAGATATTAGAAAATAAAGAAAAGAAAAAAATAGTTCCCAGTAATGAGAAAGTTCAAATCCAAAATTAGACAAATGTTAGAAGGAAAAAACAAAAATAAAAGATTGTTTTAAAACAGCTACCATCACCCCACGCAGGCAGGGAGGCAAACAAACAAAAAACTGACCTACTAAGTGTAGAAAGAAAGACAGTTTGAGTTCACTCTCCCAGACTCCTCCCTGCCCCCCATTCTCAGACCCTTCCCTTAAGTCAGCTTCCAAATGAGGGGTTCCCTCTCAAGGTAGTGAGGCCCTGCATTTCTCAGTCACGCTGACTTGCACCTGGTTTGGAAGCTTGTGAGGCTTCGGGCTTTTCCTGAGTGTAGGACTCTGAGTCTCCTTTCACAGGGCTGCCTGCTTTCCTGGTGGTGGCACCTCACAGCTGCAATTCCCCCACCGTGCGGCGGAGGGACCGGTTTGCTACCTTCTTTTTTTATTTAAATTTTTCATTTATTTTTCTATTATCAGCTTGATACAGTATGTATTCTTATCTTAATAGTGAAATGTTTCATTGATGCTTGCTCAGTAATTGAGTAAAACCAAAACTTATTATAAGCCACAGTCATCCTAGGTCCCCCCTGCTATATATATAGCCTCCATGGTTACCTCAAAGATACATGCTCAGCTATGTTCATAGCAGCACTATTTGCTAGCTTCTTTATTGCCACTTGCCATCTTTTCAAGGACCCTGTCACTACCCTTGCGAGTTTCCGACCCGTGTCTTCTCTTTCTGTAATGAGGCCCTTTCTCTCTCTCCTCTCTTCCTCTTTCTGAGACAGGATCTCACTATGTCGCCCTGGATAGCCTGGAACTTGCTTTATAGACCAGGGTGGGCTGGAACTCACAGAGACCTGCCTGCCTCTGCCTCCAGAGAACTGTATGGGGATTCAAGGCGTAGGCTACCACCCTTGGCGAATCCCACCGCCCCCCCCCCCCATTTCTCCTCTCTTTGACAGAGTTACAAGGAAGCAGCTTTTTGTCTGCCATATTACCCAGAAGTCTCTCTATTAGGTCTTACTTTCACTCCCTCTACTTTGAGACAACTTAATGTTTTGTTTTGTTTTGTTTTGTTTTTTTTGTGGAAGAAAGACTTTTTCCTTACATAGAATTTCTCCATATCACCCAAATATATGATAGGTGTGGAGAAGGAGTGGGTTTCTGTGGCTTTTTCAATTTCATGTGGTTTAATTCTGGAAATTTTTCCTTCTATTTTTTCTTTTTCCATTCTATTTTTCAATTGTCACCTTAAGATTTGACTTCTGTGTTGCACACAATGGTTTTAGCGTCTACCATTCTTTTTCACGTGAACATTCTATCTCAGTTTCTTTCCCACTAGCCGTAATGCAGTTAGGACGTCAGCTTTACTTAACATTTATGCCGGTGTAAGCTCTTTGGTTAGTGCTGCTGGCAGTTGTATCCCATTCTCAGAAGAGTTCTTGCTTTTCTTTGTTTACTTGGTCAGTAATAAAAGGCAGGGATTTTAGGAACCTGAACTTTCGGAAGCGTGGTTGTATTGTCCTAGAGAGCAAGTACCCATCAGACTTGAGGATGTGGATCAAGTTTAGGACCGTAGGCATTGCTAAAACCCTCTTTTCTTTCTTTCTCATTTTTTCCCATGCCCTGGCGTGGTTTGAAGCCATGGCTGCTTGACTGGGGTAGAAAACTCGGAAATATTCAGATAGACATAGGAGGGAAATTATAAATTAATATGATTAGGACACAAGCTTGCATAAGTTGCACTGTGTTGCTTTAAGGAATGGAGAGCATGGTGGATCGACTTCAACAAAGCTTATGACAGCCAGAGATTTTCATTCAGAATGTGGAGCTTGTCCTAAGTAGTACCATGGGTTGGATGGGGGAAGATACTGAGTTGGATTACTTAGGCAGTGACTGGCAAGTTGTACAGGGTAGCAATGAGACAGTTTAGTACAGTGGCCACAGGAGAGGCCAATGTTTGTTATCATCTGTGGTCATTTTCATTTATGGCTACAGAAATGAGAAACTTACTTGCAGGGCAGTGCAAGACGATGCTTGACCAAACACTAGTGTTCCAGATGCCTGGTCCCCAGGCTTGATTGTCATATTGATAGCTTGTCTTCTCTTTCTCTTTTTATAATGAGGCCGACTCCACAGGAGGGAATTCATGTCTCTTATAGTAAACCTGGTCAAAAATCTATGGCTGAGGAAGTTATCTCTGTAACTTATTACCATTGCTGAAAATCCATTTTTTTTTAAAATCAAAACCCATTCAGTGCAAGACCCAAGACCGAGGCTAACAACAGACAGATGCTAACATGCAGGGAGAGTAATTTATTAGTGCAAGACGTTGAAACCTCTACATCGGGCAAGGAAAAGTCAGTTTATCCGTGAGAACCAATGGAGAGCAGGAAGAGCCATTTCAAGATTTTACAAGACACTTGACTCCAACTTCTCCCTGGAAATAAACAGGAAGCAAGAGAGGAAAGGTGAGGAGAGTCAGGAAGCTCCAGGAGAAGAAATGTGAACAAACCAGTGCTCCGTGGAAGAGACTTTGGAAAGACCCGCAAAGTGTGCTGGGGGGAAGTACTGACTTGTTCTGGGGAAACTACATCAAATAATGCATATTAACGGAAACTCTTCCCAAATTCAGTCCAATACACTCTGAGTGGACTCAGGTGTGGCTCAAGCCCCTTTGTCTCTGTGATCAGCAGGGGACAAAATGGGTCACGACTTCCCAGGTGTAACTTCCTCTGGTGATTTAGAATTGTGAACTCTACTTTCATTCCAGTGGGGTACCCGGCGGGGGGCCAAGGGCAGAAGTGGGTAAGGAGTATCGGAAACAGGAGGTTCGCAGGCTTCTGGCAGGGCCAGCAAAGGTGGCGGAGAAATGCATCCTGCCAGGATTTTGCTCTTAAGGAGGTTGTCTCCAGCTTCCTCCTTCCCATCAGTGTGATTTCCATCCGCCAACACTCTCCACAGCATTCAATAGAGATAAAATCCATTCATGATGCGGTTGTCAACTTAGCAAAGCTCCCAGTAGATTGACAATAGAGCTATCCCCGAATCTTCCCTTCAAAGGGCCCTTTTCATTTGTTAGGATGCCATGGGAGTGTTACACCTGGGGTGGAACTCTAGAAGGAGGCACTTATCCCAGGCACTGTTATAACTGAATTCAAATCAGCAGTGTATTCCTGAACCAGCCTGTCACTGATGACCTGTAATTCCCGTGCTTCACCCCATCCATGTGTTCCCTACAGAATGTCAGGCCAACTTCATTTGTGGCCTTCTGAGTATAGAAAGCAAAATGGGCCTACCAATATGGCTGCTACTCCAATTTTGTGAAAAAAATTCAAGTTCTTGTCTATACATTTCTTCACTTCCAGTTTAGCTTGCACAGCCTCTGGAGGTGCATCATATCTCTTAAGTTCCTCCTCCAGATCTTTCTCGCTCTTCATTATGAAGATCGTGCTTTCACGCATAACAGCTTCACAGACTTTAGCATTAGCTGGAAAATGTGAGGAGGAAGAAGTCAGTTAATCAAAGTTACTTTTCCTTTTTAATTAATTCTTTTGGCATGAGTCTCTCTGACTTAAGGCTTCAGACTGGACAGGATAACCAGTATTATGGCTCAACCCTGTGATGGCTCTGAAGCAAGGCAGCATGAAGTCCTCATGATCACACAGCAAGGGACTGAAGAAAGATTATTATTGACTCTCTCTGTTTCTGTGTTTCAATCCGCATTTACAACTTTCCAAGCTTCTATGGCTTTCTGGAATTCCCTTTTCTAGCATTAAAAGTTGGAGGTTTGACTGCATCTTGAGTAGCATTTTCATGATTCTTAGATAGTTGCAAAAAGGAATTTTTGAGTCATCCTAACTTTGACATAAATAACAGAGTTAGAATTTTACAAGAGATGGGAAAAGTAAAAGCCAAGCAGACAGCTTCTGTGTAGGAAAGGTGAGATTTTGGAATTGATGGAATTAGGTCACGGCATCAAGTACAGTCCACGGTAAAAAGCTAAGGTGGCAAGAGTTGATCAGTTTTTTTGTTGTTATTGTTTCTTTGTTTGTTTGTTTGTTTGGAGACAGGGTTTCTCTGTGTAGCCTTGGCTGTCCTGGAACTCAATCTGTAGACTCAGAGATCTGCCTGCCTCTGCCTCCTGAGTGCTGGGAATAAAGGCATGTGCCAGCACCACCTGGCTGAGTTGATCTATTTTGATACACACCAGAGTATATCTGGGAACTGTGAAAAGCTTTGCCTTTCCACAATGATGCTCAGATTTACTTCTAGGAAAAGTGACAGGGGAAGCGGACACCCACCTTATGGTTCTAAAGATCGATGATGAATGTTTGAGTAGAACTAAAGAATTCAACTTTCCTAATCTAGGTTCTACATTCCCTTCAAGACTCTTTAAAAACAAAACAAAACAAAATAAAACAAAACAAAAAACCCTACAAATCTCCAGAGGTGGCCTGGGCTGGCCTCAGACCAAAGTTTCTCATGTTTCAGCTTCACTTAGCTTGGATCACAGGGATGTGCCACCAGACCCAGTTTTCCCAAGGACAAGACAATGCTATCCTTACGGGGTGCCTAAACTGTCTGATATGGGCCTCAAGCAGATTCCATCAGACTGTAGGGACATGTAGGCTTTCAGATGAGGGGCAGTAAGGCAGACAGGAGGGGATGCAGAAAGGAAAGAGGGTAACACCCATGAAATTTGGTTCATTTTGAAGGTACAGAGTATGTAGGAATGTTCTGTTTACACACAAATGGATTGTTTGCAAAAAAAATAGTTAATTTTAGAAAAATGGACATCTTAGTGGTAATGACTGCACCGTTTCTATCCCTGTTATTGGTGGGATCCCCCAGAAAACCAACTGGACAGACTACAAGAGCCTGCTTATCCTCAGAGTCTGGTGGAGGGATTTGAGATGTATTACTCACAGACTTGGAAAATACTGTGGAACAGAGCTCTCTCAAGTCACCTTCCCAGATACAAAGACAATAAACTGAAAAATAACACAACCAACAAAATCCCTCTAATAAAAAACATTTCCTCAATTCTGTTGATAATGGCCTTTTCCTTCCCCCTCACCCCCCACCAAGCTTCTGAGGTAGGAGAAAATTAGTTGAATGTATCTGGGCTTTTAGGAGGTTGGAAGAAATTTTAGATTGTCTTTCCCTGTCCTCAACCTTACCACACATACATTTACTAACTGTTCAAAGAGGTAAACTTACCAGGAGCTGTGGCTGAATTGATCATAAATGATACTCACCTTCATAGCAACAAAGAGCCAGGATGACCAGCACAAAACACAGGACCAGCCTCATGGTGCTCAGTTTGTTTAGAGACTTCAAAAAGGGTGAGCAAATGGACTCTACCAGAGCCCCTGGGGACCAGGGATATTTATACTTGGTGAGACTTACTGGTCCCGCCCTTCAAGCACATGGCAGCTCATGAGGCCTGATTTAGGCCCTCCTTCTGCATCATTGAGGGCTGATCCCCTCACCTCCCTCCATCCTGTTGGGCTGGAGCCCAGGAGAACAGCCTCACAGGAACATCACTGTTCCTTTAGGTGACCTTTCACATTCCCCAGGAAGCAATTTGTGAAGTTTCAGTTTACTTTTAAGCTTTTGATTATTACACTTGAGTTCTCTCCTTCTCAACAGACACAAGTGGCTTCTTGACAACAGAATGACATTCTCTTGGGCACAGAACCTCCAAATATCAGCCCTGGAAATGAGAGCTTTGCATTTGGACCTTGCCAACACTCATCCAAATCCTAGCATATAACTACATCAGAAGATCAGGAAGATATGAAAGAAGTAACCTCAATGTACTGGAAACAAAAATAAAATAAACTCCCAGTTAGTTAAGGAAGGAAACACCGAATAAGAGAAAGAAAAAATATAGAGTAGAAAGCATAGAAAACATCAATGAAACAAGACAGTTTTTTAAAACTATGAACTAGACAAATGCACATCTAGACTAATGTAGAAAAAGTGGAAAAAATCTGAAAGAAAATATGAAATGAAAAGAGAGCCATTACCAATTATACCATAGAAAGAAAAAAAAAAAGATTTGGCAGGGGTCCTTATGATCAACTTCATGCCAACATATGTGATAACACAGAATACAGGAGCCATTTCTGAACATATATACTCTATCAAGATGGAATTATGAAAAAATTTAAAAAACCTGAATAGACAACAATTTGCGATTGGAATATATATGTAACAAAAAATTCCAAAAACAAGAATAATAACACCAGAACAAAATGGCTTTACTACTGAATTCTATCAAACCTTTAGAAAACTAAGATTATTTACTGTTATTTTATTCCAAAACTGCATCATAGGGAATTGTTCCTAAAACAAAATGAGGCCAGCATTTCTCTGATCCAAACTTGCACAAAGGCGCGCGCGCACGCGCGCACACACACACACACACACACACACACACACACACACACACACAATCAAACCCACAAAACTCTAGTATCCTCCATGAAATACTTGTAAGAATCCTCATCAAAATTCCAGCAAACAAAGGCCAACAGCACAATGGAAAGACTATCCACTGTCAGCCACAGTGTTGCAGAAATGACTCAGCCTGTCCAGATCACGACACATCATGCTGCAGCAGCATGACAAAGAAGAAAACCCCCTTCATCCTCGTTATCGGTGAAGAAGGGACATCATGTAAAACTTAACAAGAACACTTTTGTGGGCTGGCAAGAGAGTTCAGTGACTAAAGATGCTTGCCACCAAGCCTGCAGACCTGAGTTTTCATCTGTGTTATCCACAAAGTGGAAGGAGAGAACTGCCTCTCACCAATTGTCTTCTGACCTTCACATGCTTGCAGACACATATGCGTGTCCCCACATAAACACATTCAAAAATGTAAGTAATGTAATAATTTTTTTTTCTAGACAGGGTTTCTCTGTGTAAAAGTTCTGGCTGTCCGGAAACTCACTTTGTAGACCAGGCTGACCTCAAACTCACAGAGATCTGCCTGCTTCTGCCTCCTGAGTGCTGGGATTAAAGGCATTTTCCACCACCGCCTGGCAATAATAATTTTTTTAAAGTTAACAATTCTTTAGTATAAAAACATGGAATGAAATATGCATTCAAAAATGTATATCAATATAAAAAGACTCCTTATAATTTGCCAATGACATCTTGCAACAAAAGATGTCCACTTTCTGTGTTTAGTCACAGTGTGGGAGTCCTACCCACAGCGACCATACACAGAAAAGTCATAGGCAGCCATACTGGAAGGAAGACAGAACACTGTCAGTGTCTGAAGATGCCATGATCTTATATGTAGAAAACAGAAAAATTCTACCAAAAGCCAGTTACAATTTATAAATCAACTGACCAGGGCTCCCAGTTACAAACCGCCTCATAAACAGTAGTGCTAGAAAATGCTAACAGCAAGTTATCTGAACTACAGATTAAGAATTGACTCTATTTTTAAAACTATAAAAATAATAATAAAATACCAAGATTAAATTTACCTGAAGATTAAAGATAATAAACAAATAAACATTAGAACAGGCCATGGCAGCAGGGGAGAGATGGTGTGCTCCTCTTCTGGACAGGGCACCACACCCTTCTCTTTCCTCAAGCCACAGATGGTCTGTATGGTTCCTGCATGCCATCCATTAAGTGTCCCTTTCTTTCCTCCAAAGACTCCACTTTTATAAGAAATATTGTTGTCACCTCTTTTCCAGGACTGTTGCTGTGAAGGTCGGTCACTTTCCAGGGTGTCTGCCATCTACTTGCTGGTACCAAATGCTGCCCTATTCATGTTGTGTCGAACATTTCCATGAAAAATACTGAGATTAGAACTTCACTGTTCCACTATAGAAGTGTGATGTGTGAGGTCATGACTATATCAATTAGGCTGAGTTACACACTTCAGGATATGTTCATCTATCAATATATACAGATTACTGTACATAATTTGCATTCAATTATCGATTAGTAACAATAAACAAAGAGCTTTACAGCATTTCAGATGTACAGTGTCTTGCCACTATGCTTTGGGATATTAACATGGAAATAGTATACACAATTTTCCGAGGGGAAATTATTTGCAAATTCTATCAACAAAAACATTTGAAAAAGGAGAAATTAAACATCCAGTGTACATAGATTAAATCACGTTTTCCTTTTTGTTGTTGTTGTTGTTGTTGTTTGTTTGTTTTTGAGACAGGGTTTCTTTGTAGCTTTGGAGCCTGTCCTGGATCTCGCTCTGTAGACCAGGCTGGCTTCAAACTCACAGAGATCCACTTGTCTCTGCCTCCTGAGTGCTGAGATTAAAGGTGTGCACCACCACTGTCCTACTCTGGCTCTTTTTTCTGTAGATTATAAAGCAGGAGCAGGGATTTCAGTGGGAGCCTATGGATCTGGTAGTAACCAGATATTTTGAGCTTAAATATATTACCTTTCCTTCCTTCCTTCCTTCCTTCCTTCCTTCCTTCCTTCCTTCCTTCCTTCCTTCCTTCCTTCCTCCCTTCCTCCCTCCCTCAACCCCCTCCCCTCCTTCCCCTTTCTTTCTCCCTCCCTCCCTCCCTTCCTCCCTCCCTCCACCTCCTCCCGTCCCTCCCCTTCTTTCTCCCTCCCTTCCCTCCTCCCTCCCTCCTCCCTCCCTCCCTCCCTCCCTTCCTCCCTCCCTCCCCTCCCATTTCTTTCTCCCTCTCTTCCCTCCTCCCTCCCTCCTTTCTCCCCTCCCCCTTTATTCCTCCCTCTCCCTCCCTCCCCCCTCTCCCTCTCTTTTTCCCTCCCCTCCTCCCATGCACATGCGCATGCTGCAGTGCGCAAATGCAGGTCAGAGGACAACTATGTCAGTTCTGTCCTTCTGAGGTCTGTGTCTCAGGTGTTGGACTGGTTGGTACTCAGGTGTCACATGGTTGGACTTGGCCACACATACCTGTAGGCACCAGCCATCTCACCGGCCCCACTTATTCATCTTTTTTTTTTTTTTTTTTTTTTTTTTTTTTTTTTTTGGTTTTTCGAGACAGGGTTTCTCTGTGTAGCTTTGCGCCTTTCCTGGAACTCACTTGGTAGTCCAGGCTGGCCTCGAACTCACAGAGATCCGCCTGGCTCTGCCTCCCGAGTGCTGGGATTAAAGGCGTGCGCCACCACCGCCCGGCCCACTTATTCATCTTAAGTGAAATTTTATTAGTCACTGCAAGGGCCAACCGTCTTGGAGATACTATGACAAGAGTATTGCCTGCCATCTCTGCCAGGTTTATTTATTTACTGGGTGCCGGGGCAAGCATCATATCGCTGAACTGTATTCTAGCCCTCAGTCTGTCTTCTAGAGACCTTTGGGATGCTTTTATCATGAAAATGTGCAAAACACTGAGAAAGAGTTCTCTCGAGATGTCTCCTACCGTTAAGTGTTGAATGGCATTTCAAGTGGCCAGCTCTACCATGTGTCAGGATCTGAGCTCTTCCAGGAGTCTGGGAACAGGACAGACATTGCTGTTACCTCACACCTTATTTCTTTCCAAAGACTCCAGCTCTCTTTGCACAGAATCTGTGACTGAATCATCTTTGCAATGTGGTTTTGGAGCAGCCGAGACATAAAACCTGCCCCACACATGTGAAGGAAGCTGGACGCCTGCAGTTTCTGAACTCCATTGGGAAGCCTGAGGCAAGTCGCTTCTGGAGAGAGAAAATTCAGATCAGAAGCACAAGTGCCTGGGCTTTGTGGGTCCCCTCATTGTCCCTCATTGTTCCCGTGGAGCCCTCTACGTCCTGGTCAACCAGAGATGCAGGGTCCATTTACGTCTCAAGGCCTTGACTTGACTGGAGGTTGGAGACTCAGCTTTGGGCAGCCAGCTGTGAGGACCCATGAAGGAGGGCTCACGTGCACTTTCTGGAGAAGTCAGCTTTGTTCTTGGCAGCTTGTTCTGCTGATTGATGGAAAGAGCAGCATCACTAGTCATCACACAGCAAAGCACACTCTGGACAATCAGCACACACACCTTCCTGACACTCTCGCTTATTCCTGCTGCTTTAATTCTTTAGTACATCAGCCAACTGTTCTCTTCTTCTTCCTTGTTCCGTCACTTGTCCCCTGTCCTTAGCTGATCCATGTTCTCAGACACAAGATTTTGTCTTGTCAGTCTCTCAATCTCCTGGGTCCCCGTTCCTTGCCTTACTTGACCCTGGCGAGTAGCAACTGTTCTCGGGCCCCTGACCTTCTCCCAATGATCAATCTCATTGCCGAAATCATTGTGTTGGATAATTTTTAAATGTTCAATCAGTCACTATTGTAATTTCATTGAAAGAAGTGTGTTGGGAGCTAAAATTAGATG